CATAATTGTTTTTTACACAATAATATTTCATTAATTTTATTAACGAAAATTTTTTCACTTATAATAATGACAGATAAATTTATTAGAGTTAACATTTCATTTAAATTAAATTAAAATTTTTTTTATTCTCTATTCTCTCTTCAGATTATCTTTATTATTATATTATTCTGATATATGAAAATAAGAGAAAATGTCACGATTGGGTGTTACTAAGTTAATTTATATTTTATAAAGATTTTCAATTTTTAATTTAAAAATTCTAACAATCGTAGAAATTTTTAGCGAAACTTTTCGCCAAACTTTTAATACTGAAATTATTTCCCTAATAATATTATTACTTCACTAATTTCAACGAATGAAATTGTTCACTGATATATGTAAGATAAGCTTTTTTTACAGCAACTTATTGTAATATTAGGGAAATTTAAATCGTCGTAAGTGTAAATAAGGCAATCGATAGTGTTTATAATCGATCATACAGAAATTTCAACCTTCTCCTCTCTTTGATTTCTAAATGAAATTTCATATCTTTGTTCAACTGACAGCGTTTTTTTCCCATCTAATTTTATTCAATTAAATATTTCGATACTATTTTATTGATTTATCATAATATATAATAAGGTAAATGTTAGTTTAATAAAGTATTGATTTATCCTGGAACATTCCAAGAGTACTATTGATTATTTCAATATATTTAAGTCTAAGCATTTTTTTTAATTTATTGATTTTTAATGGAAAATTTATGAGGTGAATATTGGAGGGAAAACTAAAAAGATGCAACATTTCTATAATTTTGCTGTCAACAATTAGAATTAATTTTAATTGATTAAAAGAATGGGCGGAGATGAGACAGTCTATATTTGGTAGGAGCGCAAAAAGTAGCATCAAACTGTCAATTACACCATTTCATCATCAATTATTTCGTTTAACTTACCCTTCTCTTTGAACAGAGCTTTTATTTATCAGCAACTTTTACACTTATAAAATCATTTCTTTTGTTTCATTTCACATTTTAATTTATGAAGAAGGCATTTTTGGAATGGCTGTGATTTTTAGAATTGTTTGAATTTTTTTATTTTTAAAATTTAAAATTTAATCGAATTTTTTAAGATTATTTAGACTTTAAAATCTTTTAAGAAATTAAAAATTAGCATAATAATAGCTTTATAAATTATAATAATTAGGTGAGAAAAGATGAAAGAGAATGGAAAAATAAATTATTTATCGTCTAAAAAAGAAAAGATTTAAAATTTAAATTCTAATTTTATGAATCATTCATGACTAATTAATTATTTTGTGGGAATTAAAATCTGTTAGAGTATAATTCAAAGAGAAAGAGAGAGAGAGAGAAAGAATAAAGAGAAGAAGAGGGGTGGGTGTGGAGGAGAATGAATTAATTTGAAATGAAAATGAAATATAATTTCCTTTAAATAAGTATTCAATTATACTCATAGATTATTATGAATATAACTGAATACGTTTATTCCATAGCAATGTTAGAATAATCTTAATTAGACTAATTTTCTATTATGTTCACTTGCCTAATTAGTATGAATTGTTTGTTTATTAGCTATTTGGTTTTACTCAATTGATATGAATATGAAATGAAAAATAAAAATTTTAGCAATTTATTACAATTATATATTTTCATTAACATGAATATTTATTATTTCAGATATTTGTCGCTCCACTATTTTAACTTATTATTATCAAAAACAAAAGAAAAACTAAGAATCTTTATCATTACCTTCACAATCTAATAATTTTATCGATTGATTGATTGATTGATTGATTGAATTTGATGATGAAAATTCGAATGAAAAAAGAATACTATCAACAACAATGGCGGAATTATCATAAACCTCAACAATATTTTGGCAATAAAAATTCTTTGAAACGAATACATTGGTTAATGATAATGGAAAGGATATTATTACAGAAGGAGAAAGATCTTGAACTTGCTGCTAAAATTGGACAAACATTATTGGAACAAAATCATGAATTACAAACCAGGTATTTCAATTTTAATTTTTTCATTGTTTATTTTATCATTCTTATAAAAAGATTATTCCATTTTCAAAAGATTTTTATTAAATAAAGTAAATTTTAATAATTAGGAATATCTTTCATAAAATTATCTTTTTTTATAAGAATGATAAAATTAACTTTATCATTACTAATTATTGTTTTATATGGGAATAATTTAAATTTTATCATTACAATTATTTACTAGAAAAATTATTATAAAAAAGGGTACCTTTTTTTTGAAGGCAAAAACAAAAGGTATTTAATTAAATTTAATTATTATTTTTTTTTCTTTAAATTACAGGAATGAATTTTTGGAAGAAGCACTTCATACATCTAATGATATAATTATACAACTACGGCATGATTTACAAACGCGAACAAATCTTTTACGCTTTTATATTGATTATGATATTGATTTAGATGGTTGTACAACGGGGTTTGTTTATTTTATTTTCCTTTTATTAATAAATTTCCATTTTTAATTCGTATGAAATTATTATTCGGATATTATTGTTGCCAGTTCAAAAGGATAGCATAATTTAATATGATTACATTTTAGGATATATTTTTCGCTAAACAAATCGTGAAATTACAGAGATATCATCATTTAACAGTTTTAAAATCAGTTCAAATGCATCATTAAGTATGATATGAGAATTGATTATAACATATTAAATATGAAATATTATTGTGATTGAAATATTAAATTAAAATGAATTTTGATAAATTCTTGCAGGCAGTCGAGTAGTGAAAATTTTCAGCGAAAAATTAAAAGATTGGAAGATGAGAATGAAATTTTGAAAAATGAGGTAGGTATATTACCTAATTTTAATGGATCATTAAAATTAATTAATGCATTGCTTCAATGTGCTATTTATGCTTTAACAAAAATTATTTTATATTTGTTAATTAAAGCTTAATATCTTGTTAAATAAGATATTAAACCATTTTTTGAACTGTCAATTTATTCAACTATTAAATTTTCAAATTTAATTACAATTCCTATTTTATAGTACGATAAAGAAGAAGCTCCTCTTGCAAACGATTAATCTTTTGATATTTAAATTATTTAGTTTGAAATTTTATAATTGGACAAATTACGATAGAAATTATCTGTAAGAAATGTTTTTATGATTATATCAAAACTTATATATAATGTTTTTTCGATTATTGATAAAATTTTGCAGTCGATAAATTTGAAGAAAATTATTTCGGAATTTGAAGAAAATGAACGAATACGTATTTCGGAATGGACAAAGCAATTAGATACTGCTAATGAGAAGGTAATTTTTCCATTAACAAGCATTTATATTTATCATTCTTTATTAATACTCAATAATGGTAATACAAAAATAATATGAAGATATATCTATCAAAAGTTATTAATTTCTTTTTTTAATTAATTATTCATTTGTTATTGACTTAATGTATCGTTGTTTATTGCTTTACACATTCATAATTATAAAAATGAAAAAATTTCAAATTAAAAAAGCAACGAAATCTTTGAGAAGAAAGAATGAACGAATTAGTACTGTCAATATTTACATATAAAAGGATTGTATTATCATATAAACATTTAATGAAAAACCTTATCAACGCACTTTACATGCATTTATATTGTCGTGAAACTTTTTGGCTTGATAAGTTTGTTGTTTTGAAAACAAAGATTGTTTGGAAAGGATTTATACTTTGATGAAAGATGGATATATGTATATCCTTCCTGCAAAAGTAATCAGAGGCTATCAAGAATAGGAATTCTTAGATCTCTTAATTCAGAAGTATTAGGTTGCACTGAAATACGCTCCTTTCGAGTTAGGCATATTCGATGAGCATTGTTTATAGTGAATAATCTTGGTCATCGTGTAAACGAATTAACGGTACAAATTGGTTATAGGATCATTTATAAAAATAAAACTAATATAAATCATTAGCGGTATTCGTTTACAGCAGATAGCAAAACTAATGATTAAGAAGGGATTTCTTTGAACATACAGCAGATGAAGTTGTTGTTTAAAAAGAGAATTATTTAATAACGTTAATTGTTTATAGAGTAATAAATTAAGTATATCGTATTATATGATAGAGAAATTATGGTAAATATTGACTGAAAATTTTTTGATAAAACAATTTCTTTAAGATAATAATGAAAATTGTAAAGATATCTTGATTATTGATTGTTTTTATACGACGGAATTCATTTCCATTTCCTATTTTTGATTTCTCAAAATTTATTTTCATTTCCGATTTTCGATTTTTCAAAACTTATTTCGATTTCTCAACATTTATATAAATATATCTAACTTTAAATCAAATTTCTTTCCTTTTTTCAGATCTATCGTTTGCAACATTTGCTTGCTGAAAAGAGCGAAGAGTGTGGAATTCAAAATTGTGAAGTGGAAAGACTTCTTCGAGAAGTTACCGTTCGATCGAATCATGAAAAAGCTGTACGTCGAATGTTGATATTTATGAATTTTATTATCAAATTAGCAATCCAATTTTTTTAGTACATTATCTCTTCAATACTTATATACTTATATTTAATTTGAATTTTCATGAAATCATTAATTAAATTTGTTTATTGGTGAAAAAAAGTTAATTTATTTTTACGTACTTGTACTACTGAAAGAGGATATTTCATTTCAGCTAACAAATGAAAATATCAACTTACATCAAAAATTACAAGATATGTTAACAATGCATGAGGAACTTACTGCACAAGTGGCTGACTTGCAAGAACGATATACGGAAGTGATGGCAATGTTGCATGATGCTGAAGAAGAGTTGAGGACATATCGACAGAATCAATTTTCTTATAGGTGACATCTAATTTTTTCTTTTGCAGGAAATTAACGAAAATGTTAATGAATTCAAATATTCCATCATTAAAATATTAAAGTAGTGGTTTAGAGTGAAATGATCGATGAAGAATATATTTGATTTCTATTTTGTTCTTCTCAGTTAATATATCGTTTTATGTTTTTTGATGTACGAAATAGATGAGTTAAATATTTTAAAATTTCTACGAAATATTTCGTCTATATCAAGTAAATATGTGATATATATATTTATTTGATTCTTAAGAAGAGATAAAAGATTTAGCAATTAATAAGAATCTATTCTTTTTTGTTAGTAGGACTAATTTTGGGGATCGTATAAGTTATTTTTAAAAAAAAATTGAAATTATGTTTTGATGAATGCTGCTAATTAAAACTAATGAATGCTGTTAAGGACTAGCACTCCTGATTCACTTTACGATTCATTGGCAAGTGAAATTGAAGCATCAGATAGTGGTTTCTATTCTGCGATTAATGATCATAAGTACCATTTTTTATTAAGTACCATTGCTATAAATAGTTTCCTTCTTTTTTCCTTCTTTTGTAAATTGAAATTATCACCGATATTTGAGTAAATTGAATTATAAATTGCTTTACTGTTAGTTCTATCAAATTTTTATTTTATTATGAAATTTCTTTTCTAATTTATTCTACTCAACAGGAAATTAACAAGACAACAAAATGTACGATCAAAAATGGATATGATTGATGTATCGCATAAATTAGAGTTGATTAAAGCTCGTGATATAAATACGTCAAATACGATAGGAACTCGTTCAGTTGCTACTGTTACCGATCCATTACCATCTGATCGATTTCGACAAAATTCGCATAATGATGATAATGTAAGTTGCTAATTTGAAATTTATAAATTTTCAATTGGGGTATGTTTCACATCTCTTTAATTAACTGTTTATGCGTTACTTATCTTCCTACTGAATATTAAAATTTTAAATCCATTTTTTTCCATAAAATTAAATAACTAGATGTTAACACTTATTTCATATTTGAGGTATCGGTGGACTATGTCCTAATAACCTAAACGGAGTTAAATTCAACAATTTCTGAATCATTTAAAACTTTGGATTATTAGATTAAGATTATGTGTCTTTTGAATTATTAGGCCAAGATTGTGTGTCCAGATTGATTTCATCTTGAAGTTCATCGATTTTTAAAAAAAATGACACCACTTGTTAATTGTCAATTTTAGGTAGTCGATGTACCGAATCATATTCTTGCAAAGCTTCTTCGACATTCTTGTTTTCCGCATATGCCAACATCATTTTTGGAAGATGATTCAACCAATTCTAATGCTTCAAATAAACTAGAAGTATCGTCAACTTCCAAATCTGAAATTAAACTTTTTGAATCTGATGCCAGTACAAGTACATTACTGCAACGAAAACAATCTGTTGATGGAGATGTAAGCATGATTTTAAATTAGAAAAATATATTACACAAAATTCGCATTCGGTAATTTCTTGATAATATATCATGAAAATGATTATTTTTTAAAAATAAAGCAAATAATTCAAAATTTAATTAATTTTTTTCTCTTCATATGATAGGAGTAAAATATTCCAAAATTTCCGAAGATTTGAAAAATATCCCCATATACTGTAAAATAAATTTTTTTGCAGAGTGTTCTACAACATTCTATTCGATCCATGCATGATTTAAATCGAATATCAGGACATAATTCCGGTTCTCCTAATAAAACAGGATCAGATGATTCGTTATCTGGTTATGAGGGACCGAAAATGGGTGAACCCGGACGACCTGGTACACGAGATCTAGACTGGTCGATTCAAAAAATGAATATACGAAGACAGGTAATGAAAAATCAATACTTTTAGAGAACATGTTGAAATTATTTTTTAGTTTACAAATTTTAGTGGTAATTTGTGTGATAATTGCAAAATATCCAAATCATATATATATATATATATATATATATATATATCTTCACTTTATCAATACTAATTGTTTTTTTAAAAAGATCGAAAGAGAATATGCAAGATATCGTCGAGAGCGTGGTTTGTTGCCTTCGAGTACATCATTCTTTAACATATTATCGAATAAGGTATGGTATTTTCATAAATTTCAAAATTAAATCTGAATTTCTAATTCCTGAAAATTTATTAATTTCGCCTTTTCTTTCTATGAAAATCAAATTATTGATTTATTATTTCATAATACTGCTAATTTCATATATATTCTATTATATAAATATTACAGTATATGCATCGACAGTAATAAATTTGAATCTCAAATAGCTTATTTCATAAATTCTGAAATATATTTATTTCACAAATTCTTGATTAATCATTTCATAATATTGCTAATTTAATATATATACATATATATACACGCATTATTATTTTGATGAAAATATGCTTACTTTTATAGATGTCTGAAAATTCGATGGAAAAATGCCGTTTGCTGCAAACCACAAAATATCAAACATTGCCTTCGGATGAATTACAAAAACAAGAAATTAAGAATGATTTATCACGGGTATTTAAACGTGGCAAAAATTTTTCAAATATTGGCTTATTTGCTTCACTTTATAATAATCTTACTCAGGGTATTGTTCTACGCTCAGCGATTCCAGTAACACCACCAGTTACACCTGTACGACAGAAGAATAAAAGTTTCACATGTAAGTGAACTTTGATAAATTTTTCAATTAAACTTAAACTTGAAATTTCGATAGACTAAGAAAAAATAAATTATAATAGAATGAATATGCTGAAAATAATTGGTATACATATTATGGTAAAACTATGAAGTTGTGAAAAAGATGATGAAGATAATTATAGCAAATAAATTAAAACAAAAAAAAGTATCATTTAAATTTTCAAAAGAAATTGTTTTTAAAGGTTTAATGAAATAAGCCTATCTCTAATATTTTCCCGATATTTCCAGTATTTCCACTGGCTCATTTTTAGCTTCCCATCTTTCATTCTCAATAATGCTATTTTTAAGTTCGTGATTGTTTATTAATTTAAAATCTCTAATCATTACTTTAATAAGATTTTCATATAAGCTCTAAGACTGATTAATTACCTCTCTCTCTCTCTCACTTCTTCAATCCTCTAGCTATTGCAATAAAAGATGATATTATAATTGCTAGAGTTATTTTCAATCTTATTTACCGAATTACTCCTAGCATAAAATGATTGAATTAAATATATTTTCTTTATCAGGTCAGGATATATCATCAACTTCATCATATCTTCTGGAAGCACTTGCCCTATGTATACCAACAAAATCATTGCCGCTATCATTAACATCAAAACAATTGGTTCGATTTCATAGTATGCATAATTTGCATAATAATTTATTGCCGACAACAGCAAGAATAGTTTTTTCAAAATAATTTAAGAAAAACTAATATTTTAAAAGATTATGATAATTGTAATAGTTAAAGTGATTGATAGAATGAATATACCAAATACCGCGCTCTTTTTCTATGCAATATATTTTCTTAATTTTACATAATTTCGAAATTTTATTTGTCATATTTATTTTTCCAAAAATGACATGTAAATATATTTATGTTTAATTCGTTTAGGTCTATTAAAAACCTAGCATAAAAAAAGCTTGAAATGGAACAACTGTTTACATCACACTATATTCACATCATATATATATATAATAAAACTTGAACGAAAAATTTTATGCATAACTTTGTTTTCTTTACTTTACGCTTCTTTCACATGAAGTGAATTTAAATTTTGAGGAAAATTTTTCTATCAATTACATATATATATGTCAACCTCGTACTGTCATTGTATATATGTATAATTTACAGGTTATATTAAATTTTGGTAGTGTTTTGGACAAGATTTCAAAAATCATTGGATTAGAGATATCATTAATTGATAAATGATTTCTTTATAAGAGAAATATTTCATCTGTTTCTTTTTCCCTTTCTCTTATACTGTCTGCTCAACAAATAATTCGATATGATATGCTTTCAAGCTCATATTTGTCCAACATAAATTATTATAAGTGATAAACAATTAAATTACTATGTTTAATATCGTGATAATCTCTGTTAAAATTTGAAATTTCACCATAAAATCACTCAAATACTACACTAATATGCTATAGAATCATTTTTATATGTGAAAGACTTCCATATTAAAAAATAATTATAATCAATGGTCGAAAAAAAAAGCATCGAAAACCCTTAAACTGTTTATACTTATTGCTATACATAGACATATATATGTATATATATATACATGCATACACATACATACCTACATATCAAAAAAAGCAAATGAATTAGAACGAATACTTCAAGAAAAATGTTCCACTCTATCATAATTGATAAGCAAAAGCAATAATAAACAGCGCCTTTGATAGAAAGAAATAAGAATATCATAAACGATCTATTATATAAAAGCACATTCTAATTTATCAAACTTAGCTCATATAATGTTAATGCTTTTATGACTTTCGTAATTTAAAATATTAATTTTACAAGAAAAAAGTGCAAAATTGATAAAAAATTCGAAATAGACACTTTCAATTTTATCCAATTTTTTTCAACAACTCAAATAGAAATTGGTTTTGAAAATTTATGAAAAGTAAGTTTAATAAATGAAAAAGAAAAAATTTGACTAAACAGGCTACACTCGCTCCTGCACTGCACTCTTCGGAGGAAGAGTGGAAAAGGAGTATTATATAATTAGTTAATAAAAAAAGAACATGTATAAGACCATTGCGATAATATCCACTTCGAGGTAATTCTGCATATTGTAAATGTCATTATATGATGTAAACGAATGATCGAGTGGATATGCAATCAGCTATCCATTGCGCTGATGAACATGACCTTCGATAAGAAGAGATTGATGCAATTTTTGCAAAAATATAAACAAAACATGAAGCACTAGTCTATTTTATCGTGAATTGCTATCGAATCAAAAGAGAAATAGCTTTTAGTAATAAAGAATCTAAAAATGGTGCCATTCAAGTCCAATATTGCGATGATCAATTTCATACTGATTGGCCACTTCTTCCGCTATCGATTGATTAAGCCAGAGATTCTCCAATTTTGCATAAAGCTCGTGACTAAGATGCAGTGGATTTCCCCGTCTACAATACATTAAAAGCTGAACTAGACATTCCTCGTCAATAAAGTCAACAACGAGTGCTGGCTTAATTATAAAATCATCATATTGTAACAAAGATACAAAAAGGTACCGGAATCCTGAATCCGTTTCACCATAACCGTCGACATAAGGCGCTGGGAGTAAACAGCCTCGTTCACGTGATGTTAACAGCACTATTTGACTGTCACGAATTCTGAATTTTTCTCATTTCTCACAAGTGTAATTTTAATTTTTCTCAAGAATATCAAAACAATGACTACTACCAGCCCTGTCATTACATCATATTGTACTCACTAGAGCACTAATATTTCGGAAAAAACAACTACTTACCGAAGAAACACACCACCTGAGGATCCAGTACAAGTTTTTAAATGATAAGAACAAGCTCCAAGTGTAATACCATTTACCTGCAATAATATCAAGAAGTATATTATCTTGATTTAATAGTCAAAAAATCTGGAGCTCTAACACCGTAACAACTCCTATTATTATTAATATCAGCTCATATAACTTACTGTGCGTTGACAACAGTAACTCTGGGAGCAAAGCAATGAACCACACAAAAGGCATAAGCTTGGTGCTGATGATGAATGGTCGTCGACCGGAACAGAAGGACATCTGAAAAGTTTAAATTAGAAATAAAATAAGAAATAAAAAAATAAGCAAACTTGAACATCTATGTGCCTTTAAACTAAGACTACTTTTGTAAAGTATTTGCTATATTTCAGAAATCGGTGCCATATGATTCACTGCTCCCGTTGATGACTCTCCTCATCTCTCCCTGAGATGTATATCGATGAATAAGTTTTGCTAATATCTTAATGGTATCATAGCACCTAATAAGTACCATTAATAAAGGTATTGGTATGTAATAATAGTTGATTCTTGACTTCACTATGAAATTTTGTTCCAATGATGACGTCAGTTGAAAGTTCCTCCATCAGTTTAATACGTAATGCAACTTTCACTAACAGATTAGAACAAAAATATCATATATTGCGATGTTTGGATTGCGCAGACATTTTGTACCTATCCCAGGACTAGAACATATCAAATTTTTTTTAATCGCCATAAAATAGTATGGAGTAAATATGTAAGAAAATCTTTAAAGAAATCAACCTAAAACTAGCTGCATGATTGATTAGTTCTGAAAAATCTTCCGGCAATTGCACAAATGCGTTTTCCAAAACTGGTTGTCGTACGAAACTTCCTCCAGACCTATCTCCTTGTGATGATGCCCATCTAAAATAAAAGCTAAATGCTACCCAAAAGAAATGATTAGTACCGACTGCTGCTGTACGCTCCGTCTGTCATTCATGTATAATAGAAATTTTTAACGCGAAATACCTTGGCATTTATAGCCATTCTCTACGTGACAGTACCTTCTTCTTAAAATGTCAATAAATAAATAAGTAAATAAATAAATATATTATGTTTATTTAAATATGTCAAGTTAGGCAAGTAACTTGCTTAATTAGCGGCATCTAGTGACTACTATTACCGAAATGTCGTGGGATTGAGATTTCAACTCCTAATTTACTTTCCTACACGCCTGCTACTATATTAAAAGTTTACAATAACCTACAATGTAAACAGTTTCTCAACGCATTGTCCACCGAGAAATCCGCCGATACTAGGTGTGAAACCAAGATAACGGCATAGAGGTTCGAATTCATTAACGGAAGGATCTGAAAAGAGGAAATTCACCTCTGTGAATTCATTACAAATCCTTTTTTTGCACATATTTGAATTTAAAAATGAGTTCTAACGCAAAATCAAGAGTTATGCTCATGATAATATTATTCAATGAAGATCGCCTTCCTCATGATGATGGAACAACAGTATGTGAGACAAGATCTGGTTATTCCTGATAAAGGCTTAAAATGCTAATCGTTTAAAATCAATTATTTTGGAATGATCTTTGCTATATTACCTTTTAAAGCTTCCGGAGGTGACACAAGTGTAAGTGCATGGTAAAGAAGTGATAGTGGACGCAGAAATTCAAGTACTGCCGTATGAAGTGTCTGTAAAATTTTAAATTTCTAAATCTGAAATTTTACAAAAAAACATTATTATCAGAAAAAATGTTTTTATGTCTGTTCAAATTTAAATACAAATTATACTTTATAACACAACGATAAAAAATAGTCCAAACGTGTCTTTATTCAAACATATGATTCAATCAAATTATAAATTCTCCATGCTAAAGAGCTTCAAAATACCTTCTTTAGTGCGATCATTGATGATAGCTGTTCTCCGGGGTGGACAATAGTGTAAAGATGCAACAGTAAGTCATCCAGCACCTTATCCTCTTGTACAGCAAATGGAGAAGCTGGTTGTTTTGCAAGAATCGGTTCAACATTAAATGTAGCAATGACCTGGAAAATATAACAGCTCAAGAATTCTTTACAGGAGGGGCTTAAAATAAATTTCAAATCGCTTTTGGAATCGGATCCAAATATTATATTGATTGAAAATTGAAGTGAATAAAAATAAAGACGAAAAGATGGGAATACACCATATTATAGATTAAAACTTCTTGAAACAGTCTTACACGTTGGTATTTCATTTTACCAGCAGAGTCAAATGCAAATATATTCTTTCATCAGTAAACATCACCAATATTTGTTTTACGTTCTGCATGATATGAGAAAAACAATATAATCAAATATTATATTGGCACTAAATATAATACATACTTGATACAAATGTCCAATAAGTGCCAATCTTATAGCGTATTGCTCATTCTCTGAACCATGCGGAAACGTAACAATTCCTTCTTTGTTCATAGCTTTAACATTCTTGCTTATATGATCCCAGCCTTCACACATTGCCATTTCAACCTATGACACTATGCTCAATTACGAGATGCACAAACTTTCGAAATGTAAAAATTCCAACTATGAAATTAACTCAAATACTTACCGCAAGTGAAAGCATATCGATTGCTAGGATGTTTACTGGCTTTTTTATATCTTCTGTTATCAGAACAACTACTGCGAATTCCAATTGGGACTGAAAAACGTACAACAATTAACGGATATTGGTATTTTCATGATCAATACTTAATGCACAATACTATACTTCATAATCACAATATAGTTAAAAATGATTCATTGTCTAAAAGTATTCAAATGCAAAACCAGATAGTGATTCCGATTATTTGGCTTTCATCAGAATCAGCTGAAGTAATAAAATTTTGATCAGCAAACAAATTGACATTTAAAAATGTACATACCATACTACCGAGATCTATGCCTTCTGGTAAATGAATCTCTGTTTTCTTTTTCGCTTCCATTGTTTTCAGCGATGATTGATCAATAGGATGCCTTGAATCCGTGGCACAATCCATTGAGAGGTCCTGATCAGTAGCTGTTCGATATGATAGGAGTGGAGATAACAACTGCAGCAGAAGAAGTCGTAGGAAATAGTGTGATGAATGACATTTCATTGTCGCTGCAGCACAACTTCGTGATAGCGCATATATGCACTCACGCTGAAAATGAATTTTAACATTTACAATATCAAATAAGTCAGTTCGCTTGCTAATTAACTAATGGCAGTGTTTCTTACTAACTTTTAAACCAAAAAATTTCGTGACGTGAATTTGTAAATAGAAAATTATCACAATATGTGTTAGATTCATTGTTTTTACACTCCACTTTGATCGCTTTAGACTTACAATGCGGCACATACGTTATGAAACACATTAAATAGCTGCCACTGCTGATGAAAATCACGTAACATTTACAAATAACCTGTCTAGCATTCCACGCTCCAAATAATGGCTTGCCACTACGGCGAAGTACTGTTGCAATAGACCGAAGTGAAAATGCAGTAGTTTGGAACGTATATACTGCTTCCATAACTTCCCGATTGAAATAACCGGAAGTCCCGTCATTTTGCAAATGCTTTAAAATCTTTCAAAATATAATTATCTTAGCTCACAACGTGAAATATGTATTTTCCAGACGATTGGTAAAGGATAACTATAATCAACTGTCATCTCTTATCAATCATACAACTATAAAAAATGTTTAAATAATCCAAATAATACATATCGTTAAAAAGATTAATGCTATGGTCATCTGTAGAGTTTCTATATGGCATTAACATTAAAAATTTACAGATAAAAGAGCAATTCTAGCTTTTGGAGAATTACTAACCAAATTAGTTTGTTTGAGGAAATAATGCATCATATCCCAAATCGATGATGAAAAATATGTTCGTACACTGTAAATTCTTCGATGAATATCGAATTCAAATAAAATTCATTTAATTCAGTCATGTAGTTTTCTTATTATCTTTTCCAGGCATTAGAATTCTTCCTCTTCTTGCTAACAACTTCAGTTTCTTATAAATTAGCTCCCTACATCCCTTATTTTTCGTTTGTTGAAATATCAAAAATACCACACCTATCACTTCGCTGCTTTTCCGGTTGAATAAGCATGTCTTTGATTCTGTGCATTACATCCGGAATAGACGTTAAGATTGCAAAGAAACGTCCGTCAGCGCCACTTTGCTTTTTCACAGCTGTCTTTCCTGCGCTCTCCTCGTTATCATCTATCTCCATCATTTCATCTGGTTCTAGAAATTGTGATTATGTCTCATTTCAACGTATATACATACTTAACATGTCTTCAGTTCTAATATTTATTGATCGTGTTTGCAAGAAACCACTGCTCACTGAATGATTCTAGCCATTCCTGTTCCTATCTCTTATTTTCTTACGTTCTACCAAAAACTTGAATTAAATTATATAATGTTATACCTTAAACATTTTCTTACATACAACCATAATAAAAAAAACATTGACAGCTTACTCGAAGGTGGATTCGTCTCTACCGTGAAGGATATGGTAGATGTTGAGGGGACTGATGTCGACAGCATATTGCCAGTTTCAGCTTCTCGGCTAGCTAATTCCATTAATGACCGTTCCGAATGTGATCTAAATTTATTTTTTATTCAATTTTCTAATGGAGCCCTTCCATTTATTTATGCATATTTATATAAACATTTCTTACTAGGAAGAAATGAAGAAAAAGATGCAAACCTCTTCTTGCTGTGACCTTTGAATGACTTATCACTATTGGTAGAACATGTGCTATCAAAAAATCCAACAAAATGATTTATCCAATCTTCAAATTCTATGTGTCTTTCTTTATTAGCTATTCTGCAAAATTAGTTGAAAATAATTAGTGTTGATCTTAAGGATAGCTGAAACACCCCAAAACTCAAGAAACTATGCATAAAAACATTTAAAGAATTCGGAAAATATCTTTAGTGAAGAAAGTAAGTGCAATAAATCCGAGAGAACGCCCACTCTCAAAGTATTGATAGCCATAAAAGATAAAAGTTTGAAAAACTGCTTGCATGAAAAATTACCTGTTAGCGAAAACTTGTCCAAGAGGGGGGAGAATAGGCAGTATTGTATTGCTTAGACGTTTACACAATGGGCATAGATATTCACCAGAATTAACATCAAGCACACGCGGATTGAATGCCATGAGCTGTCGATTACGGCCACGATCCCGATCTTTCAGCAATTCGGAAAATCTAAGAAATAAGATCGTATCAAAATCAAAGAATTCACTAGCCACACAGCAAGTTAAAACACTAGATTTTATAATTTGATAATTTGACAAGTTGTAAATTGTTCTGTAATGCTTTACAACGCTTTTTTAATCTTACAAACACAGCAATCGATCAAAGCATTATGCAGTGTAAATTCATACATATTTCTACGCGCAACAAAACAAAGTCTTACTTGTTATAACAATTGAAATGCATTACGTGACCACATGTTGAAGCTCCGGGGCCATTTCGAAGAGAAGTCGACATAAATACTTTAGACAACTCTGACGCAGCTTCTCCCTGTTGATTAAGTCTTGCAAACAGTGATGACCTGAAAGCAAGAAACTGAAATTTCATTGAAATATCCGGAAAAATTATTGACAATTATTCAACACCTTTGCTAAAGTGGCTGCCGCTGAAATGAAGGATAATATGCTTTATAATGAGACAAGAAAATCGATGGAATTATTTTTACAAAAGCTTATATTTTAGAAAAACCATTTAGAATAAAGTTCTTACAAGTTCAGTATAAGACATGCAGTATAAAAACATGCAGAATTCGACATACTTACTTCTGCATAAATGCAGCACATACTAGCGCCTGACCATTCGCTGTGACATCTTCATTTTCCTGGCACAGAATACACGTAATTCGACGGCAATCATCACATTTGGCAATACTTCGATCAATGCCCAAACATATCGGAAAACCGCCACCTTGCGGCAAAATCCTAAACAAAGAAAATCTGTGGTGATCGAATACTGTTCTGGTAGCATTTGAAAGAAATCTAGTGTTTTTTCAGTATAACATCCAATTTTATAGAAATATGCAAAAACAAAAAAGCACGAATTATAAATTTTTCTACTTCATTTAAAAAAGAATTAGAAGAACGCCTACCCTAATGGTTCTTCATCATCATCATGTCTTTGAGATTCTTTCCCCTCAAGAAATTCTTTTCCAAGCAGATCTTGGTTTTGTGTTACAAATTGCTTCTGTAGTCGACTCATCTATAAAATTTCGAAATTAGCTAAAATCAACAAAATGAATGTCAAAAGTAAATTTTTCTCTCGAAAATATTTTACCTGATCCATTGCTTGCTTCCGTTTTTTTGCGGCAATAGCCGCTTTCTTGGCTTTGATTTCTGATTCAGATGCATCTGCTTTTGATTCCGGCCGTATAACAGTTTCTTTGCTCTCTGATTTCGTCTTCTCATAAAGCTGATAAGTATTTTAGATATTTCTTTATGCATTACAGACAAAAAGTAAAATTTTTTCCGACAAGATGAATTTTTATGGTAATTTCAATTTCTACTTAATTTCTCACCCCCTATCCTCAATTTTTGACCTTCGATCATGGTTTCACCTTCTGCAATTTAAATTTCCACGAAAATGCATAAATCGTCATTAATTTAAAGTAATGAATTCATTTTACATCATAATATTAGACTGTACTTTCCAAGACATAAAAAAACTATATCATCTTATACTACACCTAGCATGAAGTGTAAATATATCAACATTATTCTTATAAAAATATTAAATGGAAGTTATAAAATTATTCGAATTTTTTCAAATTTCTACAGCCTCCTATTTCAGGAATATAATAGATAAATTTTATATGAAATGAACAAAAAGAATAACCAACCTCAAACAAATATTCCAGCAGGTCGGCATGCGATTCTGATTCAGGTTTTCCGATCAAGCTCTTCATCAGTGTAAATACATTAGCTTCCTCAGCACAACTGATGAAGTCGAAGTTTTTGTTTATGATCTGTTCGTTAAGACCCATTCCCACCAGGAAGAGCACCTGCAAAAAAAGAGTTAAAAATTTCAACACAGCAGTCAGAAAATACTTCTAAGCAAATTTTAGCTGCCAAAAATTACAACTATTTGTCGCTTAATTTAAGAAGATATTTCTAATGCTACCAAAGTACCACCATTATTTTAAAGAAGCGATGGTAAAAACATTAAAAATTCAACTTTCATAAAATCTGAAAAGCAAAAACATAAAGAAAATCGATTTCGAGTAAACTCAATAATATATGCAAGTTTAGAAAATAACAATGTAGAAGTCGTGGAACTTAAAAATGAGCGTAGAAAAAGAAGTTTAATAGCGATCAAAAAGTACTACGGCAAGGTTAGCTTGCTGAGAATATACACAATAAAAACATCGAGTGTGCCGCTATGCCAACATATATACAAGAAAAAAAAAACGATTTATGTGCACTTACTCGATGTAGTAAGCCATCACTTGAATAGCGACTTCTTTTTGCTATCCTCTCAAGGACAATACGTAACAGCTGCATCATCATTTTGCTGCGCAAAAGATTTATAATAGGCGCATAAAACGGTTCAAATTGTGGTGGAATCGGTGGTGCTGCTACTGCTACCTCTCTGTAAACAGGAACTATTAATTCATGATTCTATTTCGGAATTAAATAAATAATTAAATTGACGAAATTGAATTACATGAAGTTTATTACAACTGACACTTCCGTCGTTGAATTCTTATTCAGCTTTTCTTCAATTTATGAATTTCAATTTTTTTTTTGGACCAGAGCGTTTCTACTTCCTAATTATTATATGCACTTCTCACACCAAGTTCCATTTTAAATAACCGTTTTTCGACAAAGCGTAATGTACCCATCGTTTTGCCCACACAGACCTATCCTTACCCTAGTATTGGTGTAATCCGAAATAATTAAATGACATCGATAATTCTTAAGATTATCAATTCTGGAAATTTGAGAACTTTAAAATAACAGTCGTTTTGAAATTTTAATCAGAAACTTGAAACTGAATTTCATCAAATTTCAAAATGACTGCAAATTTAGAGTTAAAAATGTTTTCCAAAAATTCTGACGTACTTTTTGAGCGCTTTGTTAGTACACTTTTGCCGATACTGGTCAGCATTTGAAACATCCGTTTTCGAATAGTGATAAAAGAATGCATTATACTCACTTCTTACATTGTCTTTTAATAGGAAAATACCCGGTGATGTCTTCGTTGGTTCCCTGTAAAAATTTTAGCAGTTAAATTAACTGAACTTTTTATCAAATAGTCTATTGGTTAAAGGTAAATTAAAGAGCTAAGTTTCAAAATAAGAAAAAATCTGAAAACTGCAAGAATATTTACTATAAAATAGAGATAAGTTGAACTAAATAGTAAGGTAAACTACAGTTTAGAGAAATATACCTGAAGTCTCCTACGCTTCTCGCTGCTTCTTCCACAGAAAGTTCCGCAAAAAGTTGATTTACCGGCATTGCACGTTCAATCTTTAAATCCAAAAATAAAATAAATTTTGGGAATATAAACATGTATATTAATAAAAAGATAATATACATTACCTTACTGAAAGGTGCTGGCTTTGTAGCAAGAACATGCAGAACCTCACGCCTCAATAATGCTTGCATCGTTGACTTTCCAACACCCGGCATGTAGCGCTCTCCTATAAACGCCATTTCTATCTTAATTTTTTTTGATTGAAATAGAACAGTTAATGAGAAAACCAAATCATAGAGTATATATACATGAAGTAAAAATGAATGTTAAAACCAGGATTGCCAAGATGACTGAACTTCGCAATTGACTATACGGACAAGATCAAATAAAATAAAGGCGATTTAATGTAAAATGATAGATGGTAACATAAAAGGAAGTAATATCCTTTACTGAACTTATTAACAATTTTGGATAAAAATCACGTGAAAAGATAAATGAAAAAAAGCTAACCAATAATAATGATGAATAAGTGGAGCATTTCCTCAGCTAACGTAACCGTACATTTGCTCAAATCATCAGATGCTACATTGCTGAAAGCAGCGCGAATTTCCTCGAAATTTGTTTCAGCCCAAACACGTAGGCCGAAACGGTGCAGAACCCTTATAATGAACGTATCAGGCGATGTCACCGCAGCACAAACCTAAAATCTAACTTCTTAAGCTACATTAATACAAAATATGATCTTTATATTACATAATTCAAAGCAAAGATTACGAATAGTGGTACAGGAGAAAGAAATAAACTGTAAGACGCAAATTACTGTCTGCAAAAAAAGATTTTCTATGTGTCTGCATCACGAGATTGAATTTCGGATACCACGATGTACCCAATAGTGAAGACTAAGTGATATTTTCCCCCGGTTAACTATTCAATTTGTGCGATTCGCTGATTCATTCCTTCTGGCGAAAGGTTTTGTAAGAAAAACTGTACTGAATCCTGAATGCAACCGCATGGAATCAATGATTAACGTCCAATTAAAAAGAAAATAAACGTATTTCGAATTATTAGTACTGCAAGACCACAACTACATCTAAATTCTTAGCTTTGTTTCACTAATTCTAATCTCCTCAAGATCAGAAAAAATCAAAATATTTTGCCTGTAACATCAAAATATCCCGGTCGAACATTTCAGCACGGCAAGTCGGTGCAGAATAGTTGTGGATCTAAAAAAAAACGTTTTCAAGACACAAGCAATAAAAGTTCAAAAATGATTTGAAAACAAGCATCGGTTCCTATAATACATGTAGAAAAATTCGAACTTAGGCAATCAGGCTTTTTATATGTGCACATGTACTAACAATGGAAGTACAACTTTAATGTAGAGACATCAATAAAATATGTTATAAAATGATTACAGACATTTTACACAGTCGCAACTAATGCGTGTTGCGTGATCAGTTTGCAAGATGAAGAAGGAAAAGGAAACTAAAAATAAAATAAAGCGACTACTTGATTTACTAATGAAAATCCATTCCTTCGCCACATCTGCGCTTGTGACTGTGAACAAAGTACAAAAACCCTGAAATTCCAAAAGTATCCATAAACTGAAACCTAACTGTTGGAGATAGGATTTTTAAATCTAATGAAAACTTAATGAGTCGCAAGAAAACAAAACCTTGAAACTTATTAAGCAAACGTCTTGATTTCCAAAGAGGAAACCAAATTATTTTATGTTCATTACCAATATGAACACAAAAATTCAATTACAATGAAACTGTCAGGAAAAAAATTACAATTACAATGAAATTATCAGGAAAAATTGGAAAAAAAGCTAATCAACAAGAAGTAATAGATGGCATCAGCTATTAACTATTGTTTCAATTACCTTCTTTCCATATGGGACCCCATTTAGTGGAAAAATTTCTCTCAAATTTCAAGCTTGCTGCGATAAAATAAATGATAAACAGATGGTTACCGTAATGGCATTTCCGTTAAAAGTGCACGCTTCCCCCTCAGATCGATCATTCCTTCCGGAACTTTTTCTGTCGCACTTCCAATGCAAATTTTTTGAAGCTGTGATTGCACTGCGGTGAATAAACCGGCTAGAATTCGCCAAAGAGGTTGATGCACTGACACCGAACCATGCGACAAATCAAATGGTATAGAGGCCGCTTTTATACCATTCACTGAAATAATTTCGATAAATTATTTTTGATCTCAAACTAAAATTTTGAAAATTTTGTCTTCCTGGGAACTCCCAAATAATATTCTGAAATTTCATGAAGTTTATCATTTTCCTAATGATGCTCTAAAAGGTTGAAAGTTTATCATGAAAAAATCGTTTGAATTGTATTTTAAAGAGTCATCCAATTTTATTGACAAAACTTTTCAATCTTATTTTAAAAAGTTTTAAAATTTTAAAAATTCAAAAGAAAAAGTGTGCATTAAATCAAACATCGAATACAAGGATTAACAGTTCACCTTCTACGACAATCTTATTTGCAAAATCAGGACTGTGATTAGCTATTGCTTCCAGTTCGTTTATAAGTTGAATCATGAGACGATTATGAACAACAGCCTGTGGGGAAAACATAAATCATTAAACAAAATTTTTTGAAACATCAGTGGCCCGGTGAGTATTGTTCAGTATTAAATGTGAAAAACAAAGACATTCCACATGCACTACACGTACATGGGAGATGGTGAGCATAAAAAATGTTGTAATTTAACCTTAATGATTCAAAGAGGAAAAACTTAGAAAGAACACGCTACACCTCAAACTGCACTTCAATAAGATTAAGATACGAAAATCAACATTAAGGAGTACTGGATAAGAATGATTTTGGAAGACCATCTTACATCTGAATTAGCCCAACATATAATTAGTGTAAGGACGTGTTGTAATTTTATTTGAATATTGAAAGCAGTCTCCCATTCTTGCTCCCAAACTTGGTGTTCTGCGGTTTGACGACGAACCTCATTCATACCCTAGAATTTATTAAACTAATTTTGATCCGTGAATAATAAAAGAAAAACATTTACAATTTGAATATAAAATCAGCAGTGTTTTCCGAAACATACATTGCGCACCATTCATCTATAACTTCCTGCAAAACAAAACTAAAATGAAACAAAAACCTGCATAAATGAAAGAAATCGTATAAGTGAGGAACATCCACTGAGGAAATTTTCACGTAACAGAGGTGTCCACTCCTGTTCCGTAGGGACTACAGATAATAGGTATCTATAAAACATTTCTTTAAAATTTATTCCATCGTTTCTTATTTGACTTGTTTTATTAAAATCAATATTTTAAATTACAGCTGCGTCAACAAGAACTTTGTATAGAAGTAGATGATACTAATAACAATTTACAGAATTGCTCAGTGAAAAAAGGGCTCTTTTCATAACCTTTCAATGATACATGTCAAATTTAGCTGAGGAATGCATACAGTACTCTTTAACTTAACTAACTAAAACAGAGATATTCTAATCGAAACTAACCACTTGAATCAGTTCCTGGCTTCCGCTTATTTCAAACTTTTTAACTAAACTGCACTTACCTCTGGTCACAGAGCATGTATAAAGCACGTCGAAGCGTATGAGGATATGACCGTACAGAAAAATCAAATCTCATTTTGTCTGGTGCTAAAATAAATGTTTAAAACTAATTAGTAATTAGAGTAATGATTGGTCCAACTTCTTTTTACTTCCCTCCCCTTGTACTTATTCTACAAACTTGTGAAAATTATAATGAAACAAAAGGCAAGAAAACCAAAACTGATTACTTTTGAGATATTTTCTGCACTGACTGACCAATGTATCGAATACAACTTGCAAAGCTGATTCCTCAGCAATTAGCATTCGGGCTATTGTAGGCACAGTGAATATCTGGAATATTTCTGCTTCATTATTTCCAAGCAGGGCATGGTGAAAAAAGCCTGATAAAAGGTATTTCAAAGAATTTTGAATCACTATCAAAAAATAAAGGAAAACACAGCTTGAATACTTACACTATATCTCAAGAGCAGCAAAATTCAAGAAAATTAAATCGTTCCCGCTTCGTTATTTCCAAAACAAAGTAAAATCAAAAAGCCTGATAAAAAGTATTTCAAGGACGAAATACAAATTAGTTTCTTACTTCCGACCTATTTAATCCAACAACTATTTTTCAAATATCTATCCAAACAAAAAAGCTTGCCTGAACGGTTAAAGCCGTAATGGATACCGACTGATCATGATCGTCATTAATGAAATCATTGTATATTTTTTTGTACAACTGAAACAACGGCTCTTTGAATTCCCTGCATGATCGGTAATTTAAATAGCTCCAATTTTTTAACTTAATGAATTAGTACGCATCCTACTGACATAAATAAATTTAAGGACATGATTTATTTACGGTACTTGATCAAGATACTGGCTATTAAATCAAGCCTTCTATTGCACGAATTTTCCAGGAAGTGTGAAATCATATTAGCAATTCTAAATGAAATAAAACAAAAGCAAAATCGCATACGCTTTTCCGCATAAAATCATCGTGACAATAATCATAGGATATCATTGTACCATGCACGATTCTGTAAATGTGCAAGTGTTTGACGGAAAAAAATAAAACGTACTCGAATATATAATTTTGAGAAAGCTTTTTTCTGCTCGTTATTCATTAATACTGTTGCCATAATCATTTGATGAAAACCTATTCTTGCACCTGTAAAATCTTTTGCAATCAACGACAAATCAACTTTTGCTGAATGGGTTGACAAAATAATTTCTGAGAATAGTAAATTAATAAGATGATCTTTTAAGATTCTCTGATTTAGTTTTAATCTAATCTAAATTTAAAAAGTAGTTATAAACCTTAACCAATGAAATCCAGCAAAACTCCTGAACATTTGTCAAACAAAAAGGAAAGAAACCTTTCCATAGCGCACTGTCACATCTCATTATATGGGCCATAAGCGTTTGATCCACTTCGTCTGTGCTATCACTTGTTTCCAGTTCAATTTTCTCGTTCAATAATATATCACATACCATAAATGCTAAAGCTGCTGAAAAAAACCGAATGATGGAAACACTTTTAGAATTGTTAAACTTGAACTTTAAAAATTCTGAGTGAATTTTGAACTTGAATTTTAGAAGGTTTTTCAGCTTCAAGAATGATTTGAAAATAAACTAATCGAAGCTGTACAGACTTCATAAAATACTTACGAAAGTTACGTGCTTGATTCGTCAACCATCCAATTAGACGCACTGCAAAGTTCTGCAATGAAACAAGTCGACTATCGATAACACGCACATCTAGTGGGCCACTTTTTTCCGTTCGGTGATTTGAATCTCTTTGAGTACGTCTCTAAAATTAAATGAAGTATCTTGATAATTCGCAAAAATTCCGAACTAAAAAAGCTGTAAAAATTCACTCGAAATCCCAAATTATAATGAACAAAAGTGAGTATTGATCTCATACGGGTAAAGGAAACAAACGTCTAAGAAGTGTAAAAATATTACAAAAAGTTGGGAGAGGATTGAGAAATAAAGAGTAGCAAAGTTATTTTATAAAATAGTATGCTATATTTTCTGCTTACAATCTCACTTTTCCATATGATACTGCGTGCATATATATGCGTAAATCACAATGGAACCTCAAATTTTTAACAACATGCGAATGCTTTTCTCACCTGAATTTCATCTTTTGCCTTTATACAATATTCAATATTGCCGTTACGTACAGAAGCACGACCTTCACGATCAACTACAGTAGCTAATTGCATTGCTTGCAACTGATTGCAATGTATAGAAAGGTTTAATGCTCTAATTACCTAAAACAAAAACAATATAGAATAATACATTGAATAGAATTATCAGATTAATCTGTTAAGCGCTTTAATGAATGCGCAACTATGTGTTAAGGTTTTGAAAAGTTCACGGCTCCAGTCAATTCATTTATTTCAAACAATGTCGCAGCTATGAGTTGACGAATTAATCTCTAATGAATCGAAATATTGAACAACTATGTGTTGATTAGGCTTTTATTTGGTTCGTTTCAACTATTTCAACCATTTTTAATTTCGAGCTTCTTAAAATAAAGGACGTACTCTCCTGATAATAATATATCCCTTTCTAATGAAGATAAGAAACTTTCTTATGCTACTTTAACTCTTTAACTTTTGTTCTCACTCTTGTAGTTCTAATCGGACTTCCCTTGGATACTTTCTTCTATCATCTTTCTCTTTCCGGAGACATAAATGCTACAGCAATATGTCTTCGACAAGAAAGATGAATTAAATTAAAGGAATTAGAAATAAAAAAAAACTAACGGAGTCAAAGGTGTGAGTTTCATCATTTAACAAAATGGTTTGATAAAGCGGTAAAATGCTATCTGCTTCCCTCTCTCTGCAATAAAGCTATAAGTTATATTTTATGTTGATTTTCAATGTGAATGAAGTGTGAAAGTGCTAAAAAATACAGATACAAACCAAATTTAACAAACTGAAACTACTTTAAAAATGTCGGCAACGTGCTTTCATCACGCCAACAAATAATTCTAGTTGAAAATCGAAGCAGAATGTGTGTCAATGAGCGTATACGTGTTTCGACTTGCTTTATAATTTCTGATGGCACATCAGTTATCCTAAAAAAGAATTTTAAAAAAAGACTCTATTTTTGAATCTATCTACTGAACACTTCCAATGAAAACTTCTAATAATACGAAGAAGCATAGAGTTAAGTAAAGAAGTGAAATCTTGTTCCCTCTCTTCCCTGTTTTCTTTAATCGATTATTTACCGATTTCAGTATTAAAATTTGAAATGTAGCACATCAAAACTTATATTTCCGCAAAACTAATAGTAGCACTAATAGTGCTGGAAAAAAAGCTAATATTAGTTCTGACAAATAAGAATAATCCAGTGAGAAAATATAATTTTTTAATTGGCGTGGCATTAGCATTAAACTTAAGAGAAATAATAATGTTAAAATTACTGCGAGTTCTGTTCTTCATTTCGTTGTGTTTCATGTAATTTGCATGTTGGATGTTCTTTCCAAGCTTCTATATCACCACAGTCACAATAACCATTTCCACTAGATGCCCACATCTCAAAAGAGTTTACCGTTAATGTCAGCATTTGAACATTGTAAAATAAAGCGAAAAGTTATTCAATGTGCAAAGATATGAAACGGAGCCCAACCTATTTGCAGAAGGAATTCCCATGGCTTTAGAAAATTCTGAGATAAAAACTTTACCTAAACAAACTTCAATCCAATAAACATTCAAAAAGCAACTTACTCCATATCTATGTGACTTATGAGCAGAGTTCAAAAAACATTGATAACACATAACGCATGTAGGATCACAAGCACATTCCCTGAAAGAGAAAAAAAGAACATTTACCAAATCTTGGGTTAATTATTAAAATTTCCGAAGATATTTAAATTTTACGATTATGTTCGGTAAATGTATAACATAACATTTCTTGCTCTCTTCTTCATAGTTAACTTATCACAATTTCAAAACATAAGAATGAACAATTTGATAATCATCAAATTCTAAGGACTAATATAATTTCACATCATGAATACATGCACCATAACTGATCAAAAAAAGCTAACGATGTCAGCTGCTTAACATTTAATCATCCTCTAAATACGTTGTGGATGATTTACACTTTTTTTTGATAAAATAATTCATTGAAACTGTTCAACAGGTATTTGGGTTAATTAAATTTTAAATAACCCATTAGTTTTCAAATAACTCCATTAACTGTCTTCTACCAAAACAAATGAACTTAATTGACGAACTTGCATGAATAGGTCGCTTCTCCACCTCTAAAAACATGTCCACAGAAAGCACTCCGACGATTTGCACTTGATTTCGACCCGTATGATGCATTGAGAGGAGTTAAATCTGTCCCAGCATTTCTATCCAAGCAATATGCGCAAGCGATGGGATGCAGCAGCTTTTCATCTAAAAAATATAAACATCTCTATTTTAGAGAACAAACTTGTGAGCTGTGAAAAAAAAATGAAATAAAATCATATTAATCTGATTGCTAACTTGAACATACAATAACATATTTGATCTAAATGGTGATCGCAAAATTATTATAGAGTCAAAAAAATGAAGGTAGCTGGCACACAAAAGTTTTTAGAAGTTTGAACCCTTAATGATAATATCGATATAAACTCGAAGTTAATAATTATATTAAGTAATATGAAGTAAAAGCTATTGCTCAATTCATATTATACTGGTTGCCCAGTCATTCAATGATACGCACTTCCTAGAAATCGCGCCATCAAACAAAGGTCATTAACATTTCAGGATGCTATCATACCCGAATAATAATTTTGCTTATATGAAGGAATACGTTATATGAATTACACAACGTTAATTTAGTAATCTTAAAAAGCCTGCTCATATAATAAGCGTCCTCTTCTTGAATAAGCAGTCCTCTTCTTTATACCTGACCAAACTTGAACATAAATAAAATATCGATGATCTGAAGTGGTATCCATTCTATGATGCTAATAAAATGCAGTTATTCTTTTAGCTTAGTTATTATATTAGTCTTATCTTTTTTTAACTTAGATTTCCGTGAAGTTCTGTTTGGTTAACTATCAACTTTTCTGTAAATACTAATAAATTGATTGGTTATCAGCTAAGTTGCAAAACATACCGTTATCAACAGTAAAACTTCGAAACTTTCCAAGAAAAAATTGAAGCTTTTCAAAAGAATTAAACTTTTTTTCTAATTATTCTTTTTCTCAAGAAGTTAAATGGATTTTAATTTCATTTAAATAGTCACGTCATTTGATGAATACGTTTTTTAACATAAATGACGTTACTCGTTCCATAACATTACAGCATATTTGTGAATTAAATCTTAAGAAGAATTTGAAAAAAAGAAAAACTGTTTATATTATTTCAAGAATATCAAAACTGTGCCGATTCATTGCAGACTTTTCATACTACTGATTACAAATATAGATTTGTGAATTCAGTTGTATTTCGAGGAGCACCCCAACTATTCAGAAAGGTTGGATGTTTATTTACTTATCACCTTTCATTAATGTCAAAATTGACAAATGATAATATGTCAATAATAAGTTGAATTAGTTGTTACTCGTTTATCACTTACCATTATTGAAAATGATAACGACAAGCAAATTATCACTAATTCAACATCATTTTGTTTTTTATCAATGATTATGTTGATAAATGATGAGAGATTATTTACCAACCGATCATCCATTAATTCATGAATTTACAAATGATAGTCACAAGCTGCAACTAAATATCCAAAACTCACTGAATGCATTTTCGTCGATCTTAAAATCAAACGATGGATCTTTGGTAGGTGCGCAAATAAGTGGACATTGCTGTGTCCAGTAATCCATCAGGATACGCTCCGCTTCATTCCAATTCGACACACGTGTTACTGATATTAGTTTATCAATCAGCTGCATCGTTAATTACACGTACTTCAGAACTACCAATACTAGTACGATTATATATACATAAATGTATGTATACAAATAATACCAAGCACTGAAAAATTGATTAGCGATAAAATTTTTTGCAAAAAATTCGAAACATTTCAATGCTTTTATCAGCACATTAATAAATAGCAAAGAGGATGGAAACAATCCGATGACCATCGAAATGATAACATTTAATCAAAAGTTTGGAAAAAAATAAAAGGAATTCCTTCCTTTATAGTTTCTAGAATTTTGGTTCTATTCGATCGATTCATTACAGCAATTTAAGCGAAGTCCAAAAAATCGTTCCAAGAAATTCCCGGAACGAGCGCATGGCATATTTATTATTTGGAAGACATCTGCCCTGTTACTTGTTTCAATGGTTTTCTCTTGAATATTCTAATTTTATTAACATTGCCTAGCAAAATCATCCGAAGACTTCCTTATCACTTTAAAAAAGGTTTCCGGATATAAAAGATAATGTATTTATTCCGTATCATGGAGCTTAGAGGCTTAGATGTTTTAAAATTCCGATGTGAAATATCAGGTGGGTGATATGACGCACATTACTCTCAAATTCTTCAAATCATTCACAATCTATAGAAGTGAACCTCCGATCGCTTACATAGATTCTGAACGATTTGAATTCTAAACCGATTTCGGAGACAATCTGAAAGTGTCACTCTTATCCACTCTTATTTCTGAAATGAGAGGCTGTTCTAGTGGAAGGATAAGTTTCCCTGGAGAATACGAACTCACCTTTATTGATTTTCAAAGGATTGAATCCCCTCTCTGATTTAAAAAACAACATGAAAATGTTACCAATCAAAAATAAATTAATTCGTCATTAAATCTTATACACATATAAATTATTACAACACTGTGTTTTGTTCAGTGTTTATGTTAAAGTGATGAAACATGAGAATTTTTGCATTTCAAATGCATGACACTCATACCGGTGCCAGAATGTGATCACCGGAAAGGCATGCAGTGAAGCACTCATACAAACCGACAATGAAATTTTGATAGCTAAATGATTTCAAACCCGCTAGAACAAATCTGTAAGAATAGGTAGTGCAAAGTGTTTTGGAGGAGAATTAGGATTTAAATAGGTCTAGGTATACGTGATAAAGAGGACGGAGGCGAAGAATAATAATATATATATATAAAAGAATAATAATAATATATATATAAAAGTGTTGAGGAGGAAATATTATGTTAGAGATTGAGAAAATTTATGAGTGATGGTATGTTACAGCTGGAGTAATGATTGAGAGTGAAAACGTGACAGTGATGAAAGCTACGGAAGAGATATAGATTGAGATGACGTGAAATACTACGAGAAAAGAGGAAAACGGAAATGAGGAAAGAAAAGTGGCAATAATTGGGAATATATTATATATTGTTGAAAGTTATTGATGAATGGTTTGTTAAGTCCTTCTTTTTTCCCATTCATTAATACTGAACTATGAGAAGAGAAAATGTAAGAAGAAATGAAATTTCATACATTTTTATCCATTTCATTGCTCGCATCTTTTTTTATTTTTGTATATGCGCGAATTTCACGTACTTACGTGTATTTCAAGCATTTACGTGCAAACATATACGTGTACGTATACACGTAAATTTATCACCTATCTTTTAATTTTTTCATATTTATTCATTCATATTTTGCATTCACATTTTCTTCTCTTTTCTTTCTGAATTGTTTTTCAATTATCTCATAATTTTAATTCATCGAATAAATTTTAATTTATTTATTGAAGTGATTATTAATCATTTTGCATTTGATTAAATGGTACGTTAAATGTTAGCAATGACAGATAATTGCTATTTATTTAGTTCACATTTAAACATTATTAATATTTTATTAGTGTTAATAATATTACAACGAAAATAATAGAAATGTTTTATTTAAATTATTCGTTGATTTTTGTCACTAAATTTCTAGTGCTTGTCTCTCTCTCTCTTTCTCAAAGAAAATTGCATATTTCGTTCCTTCCGTTCCTCGTTGTATTCGTCGTTATTCCCGTTGTGAATCTCGTTCTTCCCGATATATACTGCATTTTCTTGTTGTATATTTCGTTTTGTTTTTCATTCTTCCCTCGTTTCGTACTTCATTTTCCTCTTGTATATTTCGTTCCTCTCATTTTTTGTCTTTTTCTTCCCATTCTGTATCTCGTTAATCCTGTTTTCAACCTTTTATCTTCCCGATATGTGCCCCGCATTCTTCTTATTACACTAATAATCTTATTTTATTTTTATGATCAAGTTTGATGATCTTTTAAAAATGATAATAATGGATTGTTTGTATCTTCAGAATATATCATCGCTATCAAACAATTATTTCTTTGAAAATAAGTGGTGTTACATTCGCTTAAGGCGATGACGAGTCAGTACTTTTCAACTTATGTCGAAGATTTGGAACAAGTAAGCAAATTTGCATTTAAAAGCAATGTATTTTAATGCCCGGTATAATTTCCAAAAATTTCAGCTTTTAAAAAATATCATTCAGAAAAAATCATAAATTAACCTTGATTATGTTCGTTTTTCAGGAACCTTTTGATGCCATTGATTTTGTGGAACGTTTGGCTTGGCGTTTAACTGGTGGTAAAGATGATATTAATGTTACGGATTTGAAAACAAAGTTTGAAGAGGAAATTGGCAATCTGCAAATGTTAAGTGATCAATTTCAGGTAATATTTTTTTGCTTTGTTTCTTTTTATCTGGATTTTGAAATTGAGAGTTTTTAGGATTTCTAGGCTTTACTGTTCTTAAAAATTCAAAATGAATAGAAATGTGGCAAATTGCTAATTAACTTCTGGCTGTGTAATCCAGAACTTTATGGCATTGCTAAAATATTGAAACTATTACAGTCGAAGATAAGTTCCTTGGAACAACAATGTGCCAATGATAAACGCGAATATTTAAACGTTCTACACAAACTTCATGAACAAAATGCTGATTCTATGGATAAATTAAAGGTTAAAACAATTCTTTTTAAATTCTGCCTTTATAAATGTAGTGGTTTTAAATGGAAATAGCATTACTTTTTTAACTTACTTCATCGGTTTTAATGTCTTATGATTTTTCTGACAAGGATGTGATTTCATGCCTGGTCATTGGTGTTCCAAAGTAACCTAACAAAATTGTCTTTATTTTGCTTATTAATTTGACTACCGATAGTTTTACCTTCAAAAGCTGCATATTTATTTTAAACATTTCAATTTTAGTCAAAACCTTGAAATTCGAAAATGAAATCCAATGCTTTGCAGCAACTGGATAATACTATGCAGACAGTCTCAACTAAAGTGGTTCATTTGGGTGATCAACTGGAAAGTGTTCATTTGCCACGCGCTCGTGCTAATGAAGCTCTGCAGCTAATGAAGCATTTCGATGAATTTTTAGCTGATCAGCCTTTGAGTTCTGATATCTTTACTGATCCAGATAAGGTGCTTTTCCATCGTCATTTGAAAATATAATGAAGAGCAAATAAATGTTAACTATGTAAATTCTTCGCACATTTTATGCTAAATCTAAGCATTTCGAGCTAATTCATGAATTTCAGTTATTAGAATCTGCTGCTATGATCCAGAAGTTATCATCTATTTCGCAGGAATTGGCAAAAGATAAATATAGTAATGTGCAAATTAGAATTGCTCACAAATACGATGAAATTGAACGATTGATGTTGGAAGAATTTGTGCGAGCTCATCGACAGGGCAATTGGCGTAGAATGCATGAAATAGCCGTAATTTTGGCTGACTTCAAAGTAAGAGTTATTGAAATTTACTGTTATGATTAAGAAATTGTTGTTTGTTTCCCAGAAATTAGCAGATTTTTTTAATTTGACTCTTAAATTAAATTATTTGTATTCGATTATTACAAAAAAAAGAATTAAATTATTTGTATTTCGATTATTACATTACATTGGACATAAGACATAAACAGTTTCGATTTTTTGTGAAGACAGTATTACATGATCTTGTCTTCATGTTCAGGAATAGGGTCACCAGTAGATTTTTAAAATTTCGACCTGAAACATTTGCATATTTGTCATATTAACGTCATGAATATTTTTATTTTCAGTTTTATTGCATAACATTTTTATGCTTAAGTTAATAAAGCATTAAGCTGTAAATTTAGGGCTATTCACAATGTCTGGATGCTTTCATTGAGCATATGCAGATTAATGCTTTTCGTGGTGATAACATCTTCGATGATATTTTATCACTTTGTCAGAAGGCGCAACCGATGCTGAAAGAGATTTTCCCGAATCCTGACCAAGTGAAGTCAAAGTTGATTCTGAATTTACTTCACGGAAAGTTGCAGGTAAACGTTGATTGCATATCCGATTGAATAAAATTTTGAATAAAATTTGCATATTTTGAATGCATTATTTGAATTATTAATTTTACAAAATGAGAAGTTATTTTCACTCCATCACCTAGTATTATCTTTTTAACTATCACTAATAACTGATCAATGTATTGGGAATGATGAAAAAGGTTTTAAGGAAATTCTTAATTTTACAGGAAGTCATAACAACGAAGTTAAACGATTCTGAAAATGACTTAGAAGTTTATTTGACAACAGTATACGATCTCTATTCCAGGTTTTTTTTCATTCGAAGTAATTTTGAATTCTTTATTTTTAGTTCTTTTTTTAATTTTTTGCAAACAAAACAATGGTTGTGTGATGAAAATTTTTACCGAAGAGTAAATTCAGAACACAAAAATTAGTGTCAAATTTATGGGCATTGCGGATTTCTGGAACTGATCTTCAATTTATGGATACATTGGTGCGATCAGTGTTCGGGCGTTATTTGGAAACGTATCCTACGTATGTCTTTATTTTAATAGCACTATTTGTTTATGCGCCCGCACACCTCCTGAGGTAAAACTATAATGTGCATCCACTGAGCATCTCTCAGAAATCCAATGAACATTGTTTTAATTCATCCTATGTCTTCGTAATCTTCAGAATTGAGAGGCAGTTTTTAACAGAACAATGCGGCGCTGTATTAAGTCGATTTTACGAATCGAAAAATCATCAAAAGAAGCAAATCCAAAGTGGAGGGTGAGTGTTCACGTTTATTGAAAATTTTGTATCATCCCACCAAAATAAAGGTGGTTTCTGTTGTTAATTCATTTTATTATTTAAAGTAATTTTTCCACGACTAAGTATAACATTATGTTTTATTGGGTCGTATTTCTGATTCGCATCGTCAGGATGTTTTGTGGCAGTTTTATGGCAGCGCTAAACATCCTGACGATGTTCGGTCAGTTAAAACGCTAAACAGAAGTTGTGTAGCTGATATATTTCTTTTCAA